CCAAGTCGAATGGTCGCACTACAGGTTTTATGACCTGTGGATCGTGATCCTTTTACTGCCATATTGACTGGTATGGGTTGGTTAAGGTCTCAAGTGAGGAGTCCATGGACAGAGACAAAGGCATTACTGATCATATCTCTTCCGATTGCACCAGTGTCGAATAGGACTCGCGCCCTTTTGCTATTGATCAGGATAGTACCTTCTAGAGCGGTGTGTGCTTTGAATGTAGCCGGAGGTCGAACACTGTTGCATTCCACATCGATATATCCGATATGGATCTCTTCATATTCACTGGATTAGGTGTTATCGCTTTCAACATTGTTGGCTAACGCCTCTTGCTTAATCGCATTTCCTTTTCCTTTCTTCGTAGGACAGTTCTTTGCCATGTGTCCTGTTTTTCCACATTCAAAACATTCTCCTTTTTGCCGTCTCGATTCTTTGGAGGATTTTGTTTTCTTCTTGAAAACCCGTGGGGTATCGTCTTCAGAGTTGCTGGAGGCTTTGTGTCGTGGCTGGCTGTTTCTACTAGAGGATGTCTGTGTTTTGTAGGCCTTGGTCTCATGGAGAATGGAGTCCTTTCGTTCTGCTCTTGCAATTATTACTGAAATATCATCACCGTCTTCCTCGAGTGGTTCCACTTCTCGCCGGAGGGTAGGGTGCATGGTGTCGTACAATCCTCGCTTCAGGATGTATTTGGAAATACTTCCTCTCTCCATCCGGTCCTTATACATCATTAGGTCCGTAGCCACATCGGTGATTCGCTTGACATGTGTTCCATTAACTTGCTGGAGCTGGTTGAATTTGTTGTATAGGAGGTCGTTGGTTATAGAGGATTGGAATCGTCCTTTCAGGTAATCGATAACTGTAGTTCCTCTTAATCTTACATTCCCGCCGAAATCCTTATAGCATTGGTGGTATGCGTCGGTTGCCTTCCCTTCGCAGAATGATCCAATGATAAGTCCAGTTGTAGGGTCTTCCATATCTTTTCCTTGTAAGAGTAGGAAGTGTGAGAGTTCTGTTGCCCATCGGTCAAAGGCTTCAGGTCTGAGGTCTTTTCCTTCTCCTGTGAACTTCGCTGGGAGGTGGAGTTTAAACTTAGGGGATTCAAATGCTGCGAGTACCTCCTCTTCTTCTGGCCTTGCCCGAGATTTCCCTCCTCCAGAAGGCCCTCCTCCTGTGCTAGCCATATCTGATTCGCTACTGGATTCGGGGTCGTCTGAAGGTTCAAAGGAAGGCTTCTTTGCTGGAGTAGCAGGGAATTCTCCTGGAGGTTGTGTATCTTCCGTGTTTGCAGGATCGCCCGGCTCTTTAGCAGAGCGCCGGGGTTGTTTCTTTCTTGTAAGGTCTTGCCGTGGGATTTGCTTCCCACTCCTGGTCGTCAAAGACTCTATCTTGGGTTTGAGATGAAGCCGAATGTGCTGTGATTCTGCCGCTTCTCTCCGCTAGCGTTCTGAGGTGGATATTGATAGGTTGATCAGGCCTAAATCCGGGGACAGGTTCTTAACCACTTGCTGAGGTTAAAAAAATGTAACGTGTTCGCAAGGTGCTAATCACGTTATCGGTAATAGGTACGATAGTTGGCAGGTGGCCTGCTCTTCCAGAGAGGAGACGAGAGCTGAGAACTAAAGGAGGCTTCGAGGACGTACTGAGGAACAGAGAAGTAACCGTTCAACCAAGTATATTGAAATACTGTCTGTTGAAGTCTGCCCTTTCTATCGTAGAAACAGGCGGTCTTTAAATACACAAATCTGTTCATGTCTTAACATAAACGAAACTAATCAAAAGGTATCAATCGATACTCCTTGGTAAAACTCCTTAAGTATCAAAGCGATACTTAAAATAAAACATAAAACAAAACCAAGTATCAAACGATACTTAAAACTAAGCAAGTATCAAAGCGATACTTAAAACAAAACATAAAACAAAACCAAGTATCAAACGATACTTAAAACTAACCAAGTATCAAAGCGATACTTAAAACAAAAACATAAAACAAAACCAAGTATCAAACGATACTTAAAACTAACCAAGTATCCGTACAGGTTACAACTTCGCTATCCTCTGGGTAGACTACTGTCCTGATTGCGATAATGTTTAGGTAGATGTACAGTATGAATCTGGTATTCATGACTACTGTGAACTGCATTTCCTTGAGTCTCAATGCTTTCTTAGGATTTTCTCTTATCCCTGGTGTAACACTTATGATGTAGTGCTAATAGCAGAAATAGAAGCCTTTAGTTTCTCAGACTCCACTTTTGATTATTATTAGGTTTTGTTTGTATAAACAGTTGTTTTATTTTGGAGAATATAATCGGTACGGGTACTCGGTTATTGATTTTGTTTTATGTTTTATTTTAAGTATCGCTTTAATACTTGCTTTGTTTTAAGCATCGTTTGATACTTGGTTTTGTTTTATGTTTTGTTTTAAGTATCGCTTTGATACTTGGTTTGTTTTAAGTATCATTTGATACTTGGTTTTATTTTATATTTGTTTTAAGTATCACTTGATACTTAATTAGTTTTACTAAAGTGTATCAATTGATACCTTTGATTAGTTTCGTTCATGCTAGACATGAACAGAATTGTGTATTTAAAGACCGTCTGATTCCACGATGGAAAAGGCAGACTTCAACAGACAGTATTTCAATATACTTGGTTGAATGGTTACTTTTTTGTTCCTCTGTATACCCTTGCAGCCTCCTTTAGTTCTCCGCTCTCACCTCTTCTCTGGAAGAGTAGGCCACCTGCCAACTATCGTATCTTTTACCGATAACATGATTAGCACCTTGCAAACATGTTACACATGATCTGTGGCATAAGTACTCAAAATACATTCCTTCTGAATACCAATCTTAGTAGCCTTATCCATAGCCAACAGTAACACTAATCTTTACAGTTTGGGAAAAGAAAAGCTTACATGTGCAATGTGCAAAGAAGTCTAAAACTCAGCAAGCTGATACAACATCAAATCGTGAAAACAATGGAGAAAGCACTACTAGTAAGTTTCCACTCCAAGTTCTGTACTTTATACTATGCAATTAGAGAAATTATTCACTAATTAATGATTAGTTGGACCGGAAGCTAGTGGAGAACAGGAGATGTACCAGGATACAGATCATGAGGATGGTACAAGTAGTCTAAAGACTACAATATCAAATGCTGGATCAATAAAGCAACGTGGTTGGAAACGTCCTCCAGGCTCTACAAATAAGAAGAGGAAAGACAATTGAGACCTGTCAACTAGAGAGATACTAAGTATATTACTTGTCTACTAGAGGTAATTTTTAATAATAATTTTTAATTACAACTGTAACCGGTACGGATACTTGGTTTTGTTTTATGTTTTGTTTTAAGTATCGCTTTGATACTTGGTTAGTTTTAAGTATCGTTTGATACTTGGTTTTGTTTTATGTTTTGTTTTAAGTATTGCTTTGATACTTAAGAAGTTTTACCAAAGTGTATCAGTTGATACCTTTGATTAGTTTCGTTTATGTTAAGACATGAACAGATTTGTGTATTTAAAGACCGCCTGTTTCTACGATAGAAACGGCAGACTTCGGCAGACAGTATTTCAATATACTTGGTTGAACAGTTACTTCCTTGTTTCTCAGTACACCCTCGAAGCCTCCTTTAGTTCTCAGCTCTCGCCTCCTCTCCGGAAGAGCAGGCCACCTGCCAACTATCGTATTCTTTACCGATAACGTGATTAGCACCTTGCGACCACGTTACAACAACATTCCTTATTTTTTTTATTATAAGTCTGTATTACCATAAATTCTAAGTTTTTTGAACCTAGTATAAGAGAAATTCAACCATTCATTGTACTGCTATCATAAAATTTAGAGCTTAAATCATTTTTCTTGTTTTTCTCAAGATTCACTTAGTTGCTATACAAACTTTAAACCTCAATAACTCTACACTCTTTAAAATGCAACGGTACATTTTTCGCATAACAATACCCATTTTCAGTAGCCAATTAGATAACAGTAAAGCAAGCAAAATCTACACTAGAAAAGCTATGGCAAGAGCTTTCTCTAGACTACATTGATTTACATTGCCAGTCATTCCATCCAAAGCTTGACTTTGTAATTTTACATAGCGGTGGAAACAACTTTAATCGGTTGTATGCTAAATAGACTGCACTGGTATTTTATATTAGCTGTGACAGTAATCATGATTTTAATGCCATATGTAGTTAGTTGTAGCTCAATCTGCACTAATCCCAAGCAGGATCCTCCGATTTCAATCCGGCCATTTGAGCAGGCCCGAATCACTACTGAAGACCCTTTCGAAATCGATAATACCTTGAGTGGTGTCTTGCTTCGATTGGACATGCATTGCAGCTCATTGGATAGACTTGGATCAAGCTTGTAACAGGATAAGGAATTGTTCACTCAAGAGACGGCTTAAGAGCTAGCCCCATCGAATGTCATGGTGTTGCATCCAGTATGATGTGATACTCTCATGCGGCACTTCAAATTTTGCTTACAAAACAGCCCCCCGTTGCCGTGCCAAGATACCACATACTCCAAACGGAAATTCGACTTCAATCCGGCCACTTGAATTCTGAGAAATGTTACGCAGGGATGCCATGCGCGATGCTTGAGGCTGCCGCTGGCCAGGCGGCTCCGGTTCCCAAAGTGACGATCACCGTTGGCCAAGAACTATGTTCCGGGATCAATGGACCCAGTAACCCTCATCCTCACCTTCACCTACCACCGATAATTTCGAGCACTAAAAGCACCTATCGTACACTAAATGAGCCAATATAACGTGCGAGGGCGAAAAATAACTTTGACTAAGGTAAAAGACAACAACTTCGGTAGGCTAGAACCGTC